TATGCAGTACTTATGGTGTCTGCGGTTGGTAAATATCTGCTTGGGGGAAAAGAAGGGAAACCAACTATTGGTTGGGATATGTTATAAACCTATTGACGAGGAACAACAGCTGTTTGAGCAAATTGAGAAAGCTGCAAATCTGGGTAATACTTTAATTATTGGAGATTTTAATTACCCGGACATAAATTGGGACAGAGGGACTAGTAGCTCAGCAAAGGGAATTAGGTTTTTAAACTTGTTAAATGACACCTTCATGTCACAACTTGTACAAGCACCAACTAGAATGGACGCCTGTCTGGACCTGGTTTTAACAAACAACGTTGATCTTTTGACCAACATTCAAGTAGGTGAGCACTTGGGAAAAAGTGATCACAATATAGTGTCCTTTGAAATAAACTCAAAAAAACAAAAGCACACAGGGTATACTAAAACATATAATTTTAAAAAGGCCAATTTCAATAAGTTAAGGGAAGCTTTACAATATATTGACTGGCATAAACTCTTTGTTGAAAAGAACACTGAGGATAAATGGATCATCTTCCAACAAATATTAGAAAGGTACATTTCTCAGTATGTACCATTGGGAAATAAATATAAAAGAAACAAATTAAAACCAATGTGCCTTAGTAGAGAAGTAAAACAAGAGATTAAAAATAAGAAAAGGGCATTTAAAGCATTTAAATCGGACAAATCAGATGCATCTTATAAAAGATATAAGGAAGCAAATAATGCATGTAAAAAGGCAATTAGACTTGCTAAACTTCAAAATGAAAAAATGATAGCTAAAGAGAGCAAAACCAACCCCAAAGCATTTTTTAAGTACATAAATTCTAAAAAAACAAAAATGAAAGTGTAGGTACACTAAAAACTGAAACAGGGGTGTTAGTTAATGAAGACCAGGAAAAGGCAGGAATTTTAAATAACTATTTCTCCTCCATATATATTAAGGAAGAACCCATGGCAATAGATGTGCAAATGATTGCTACTAAAAACTTGCAGAATAATTGTAATTGGTTAACTCAAGACAAGGTGCTGCAGCAACTAAAGAAAGTTAATATAAACAAAGCTCCAGGGCCTGACGGTATCCATCCACGTGTACTTAAGGAACTAAGTTTAGAAATAAGTGAACCTCTGTTTTTAATCTTTCCAGATTCTTTTCTTTCAGGAAGTGTTCCGGAGGATTGGAGGAAGGCAGATGTGGTTCCTATATTCAAAAAGGGTTCAAAATCCTTGCCTGGAAATTATAGACCTGTGAGCTTTAACTTCTGTGGCTGGTAAAATATTTGAAAGGTTATTAAGGGATAATATTCAAGAATTCCTTGAGAAGAACATGGTTATCAGCAAAAATCAGCATGGTTTTATGAAGCACAGGTCATGTCAAACTAACTTGATTGCGTTCTACAAAGAAGTAAGTAGAAGTATAGATCAGGGTGTTGCCGTGGATGTGATCTATTTGGATTTTGCCAAGGCATTTGATACAGTTCCACACAATAGATTAGTGTTCAAACTCAAGGAAATTGGTCTAGATGAAAATGCTTGTTCTTGGGTAGAACATTGGCTTAAAAACAGAGTACAAAGAGTTGTCATTAATGGTAAATTTTCAAGCTGGACAGAGGTGGCAAGTGGTGTCCCTCAGGGGTCTGTTCTGGGACCCCTTCTATTTAACATGTTTATAAATGATCTTGAAGACAGCATTGAAAGTCATGTTTCAGTGTTTGCAGATGACACAAAACTTTGTAAAATAATACAATGTGAGCAAGATATTACTTTGCTGCAGAGGGATTTAGATAGACTGGGGGACTGGGCACTCAAATGGCAGATGAAATTTAATGTTGAAAAATGCAAAGTTATGCACTTCGGCGTAAAGAATACACAAGCAACGTATACCCTTAATGGAAGCGAATTAGGGATAACAACACATGAAAAGGACTTGGGAATTGTTATAGACAACAAACTATGCAACAATGTGCAATTTCAATCAGCAGTGGCCAAGGCCAGTAAGGTATTGTCATGCATGAAAAAGGGCATTCATTCTCGGGACGAGAATATCATTTTGCCTCTTTATAACTCACTGGTAAGACCCCATATTGAATATGCTGTGCAATTTTGGGCACCTGTTCTAAAGAAGGATATTATGGCACTAGAAAAAGTGCAGAGACGGGCTACAAAATTAATAAAAGGAATAAAAGCTATGAAGAAATTTAAACCTATTTAGTTTAGAAAAACATTGCCTGAGAGGGGATATGATAACATTATACAAATATATTCAGGGCCAATACAAACCATTGTGTGGAAATCTATTCACAAACCGGACTTTACATAGGACACGAGGCCATGCGTTTAGACTGGAAGAAAGAAGATTTTGTCTAAGGCAAAGGAAGGGTTTTTTTTACTGTAAGAACAATCCGGATGTGGAATTATCTGCCTGAAGAAGTGGTTTTATCAGAGTCCATACAGATGTTCAAACAGCTACTAGATGCATACTTGCAAAAACAGAATATTCAAGGATATAATCTTTGAATGTAGTGTAATAACTGCTTGTTCCAAGGATAAATCTGACTGCCATTCTGGGGTCAAGAAGGAATTTATTTCCTAGCTTGTTGCAAAATTGTGCTTCAAACAGTTTTTTTTTTGCCTTCTTTTGGATCAACAGCAAAAAACAAATGTGAGGAAGGCTGAACTTGATGGACACAAGTCTCTTTTCAGCTATGTAACTATGTAACTATGTAACTCCAAAACCAGACCTCCATGGGTTGAAACATTTTATTTCCATTTTTATATTTTTCTGTGATTTTGTTGTCAGCACATTCAACTATGTAAAGAACAAATTATTTCAGAGGAATATTTAATTCATTCAGATCTAGAATGTATTATTTTTGTGTTCCCTTTATTTTTTTGAGCAGTGTGTATATATATATATATATATATATATATATATATATATATATAAAAACACAAGATCCAGCGCACTCACCTATCCACTAAACGGCAACTTCAATGTTGAAAGATTTTATTAGTTTTTTTAAAAACACCTAATCTAGGCAAAAATAATGGGGGTTTAGTTACATTATATGATCATACATTGCATAAGCCTGCCACAACATCAATGTACCCCATCTTTGGCAGGTCCTACACTAACAGCCTAATGTCTGCTCTTATGAGATTAACCACTTACTTGAGGAAAAAAATTCCATCTGGGGCTCTCTGCAGTACAAGGCTAAATAGGGCCCTGGGATGAGGCACCTATATCTTCTAGAGACTTTCCTCAAATGTCTACATTCCTGGGGCCACCACCAGAGGGACACAATTAATCATCATTAAAAAATTCAGTTCTCTCTCCTATTTTTTTATAGATTTATCATTTTGATAAGTGACCATTTCTAATTGACATTGTAAAAATTATTTCCAATGTACTTTTTCCCAGTTTAGCAATGATCTGTCTTCTCCTCCTCTTTATTTCTTCCTTCTCCCTCAGTATAAAAATCTTTCTTTACACTTATCCCCCCAACCACTTTTACATATGCCCCTTTCTCATGCCTTATACTAATTTTTCTACTCTCTCATTCCTACCCACAATCGATCTCATCCTACCCCATGCATGGAAAACCCATTCACATCTCCTGTCACTTTCTCTCCTCCTGCTTCTAGCAGCTGATGCTGTCACTCCCAATCCAGGTCCTCTCACCTTCACTACACACACTAAGAAAACCAGAAACCCTACAAACCTCATCACAATACCCTACCCTTTACCCTTGTTACGGTTGCCTCCAGGCTAGCTGAAAGTTGGACCATAGAACCAGCGGTCTGTAATTTACCTACAGCAGCCTCCCAGCCTGGGAGGTAAATTGACGGCACACTTCCACTTCTGGGTGGTCCACCTGTGTGGTACTTGGTTCAGCAAGCCCCATTTGCTGAACCAGGTAGGAAAAGGGCACAACCAAAGTATTTTATTTGACTGTGGACACAGTTTTAAAGCATTGTTCACCAAAGTCACAATGTGTCCACAGATGGTTCTTAAAGGGCCACACACACGGTGGTCCATAGTTATGGGGCAGAAGGCTGTCAATGAGGCTTCTCCATAATACAGGGAAGCAGGGCAATTTGTTGCATAAAATAAAAGTTACAAAAGGCATTTTGTAACAACCCTCGCTTACCAACATTCAGTGTGTACTCTAAAATGCCCGCTCCGTTTGCAGTAATTTAAAATCAACAGCCATACATTACTTTTTCATCTCAAACTCACTCACACTACTTCCACTGTAACCGCAGGTGGTTCCCTTATTTACCACTATAATGTCTTAAAGCATAGAACTTAGTAGGGCTAACCATACAGATATCTTAGCCATAATTTTATATAGTTAGTAAGAGATCCTTTATTTAACATATATAAATAATTGAGAATACAATATAAAATAAGGATTATCTTGGAAGCAATAGTTTTGTCTTTTTGGATATTTATTATATAAAAATATAAATATAAAATCCATTGTAGCAGAGTTTATAAGATTAAATTACATGCTTGCAAATATCATTAATAGGTTAACATACCCTTCTGAACATGTCATCATGTCAGTCTCTCTGTCATTTTAAGATGGAGCAGCGTCTGTCTCCAAGTCTCTCCTCTGTGTCTTAACATTTAAAAGTAAACCTATTTATACCTTATTTTATATGAAAAAGTAACTTTTTTACTTTATTCATTTTAGGACCTCCCTTAACTTGGCAAACATACAAGGCCATAACTAAAGGGTGCATACGTCATGGAAATTTTCCTGACTTAGTTCAAGAAGGCATCTTAAAGTCTGAATAGGTTATCTGTTGTTTATTCTAAGTCGTAAGTGTACAGTCGTGGGAGATTCCCGGATTTGGGGAAGTTCCATTAACTTGGGGTTACCACAGTATATTGTGTACTGAAAGAGTTGTAGTATTGCCTTGAAGCTTGTTTATGCATTATTGTTATTGTAATTCGTCTGGGACAAAATGGCGCAAACATATTATGCACTGAGGTTATTGCTTAAAGAAACAGTTATGAAAAACAATATGTTCCATTTCTAACACCTTGTCAGTTTGCAATATCTCTTAAAGACAAAGTACACAGTTTAAGAAATACAACATTTCATTCTAAAACTTGTAATATTTGCATTTGCCCATAACACCCTCTCCATTAAACTGTGGGCATTGTAGCGCATTTCTTCCTTAAATTAGTGAACCAAAGTTCTCCAACAGTCTTTAGGTTTTTTTGTGCTCCCAGCATCTTTGATCATTGTTGTAACAGTAAAATATCCATAGTGTGATCTTTGCCTGTAAAGGTGGTTGATTAAAATGAGCAAAGCTTTTGTCTGGGAAAGAATTGAAAAGAACACCAAGTTCCAGAGTAAGATATTCTTGGATAGATCCGGATACGAATTGTAATCCAAAGTTAAAAGTAGTAATTGTATTTGTAATCCAAAGTCTTTAAAGGCCTGTAGAAGTTTACATTCCTTAGATACATTGCTGGAGGTTGTGTTTGTAGAATACCCGGGTATTTGAGAGTATAGGTTGTAGAGTCCAGCTTTCCAAATATTTGGCTAGAATTGGTTGCAAATATTGAATCAACATCATCTGTTATCACCGAGGTGATGGCGTTAGTATTTGCCTTTGTCTTTGCTTTTTTTCTTTTTTTCTCTTGTTTTTTTTTTCATTAAACATTTTTACACCGTTTATGATGTGTATAGATTGGATACTCTCCGATATTCTTTTATGGAATAAATTAATTAACAACATTTCCAAGACAGTGTCTTAAGTGAAATGGATCCTGTTATCGTAAATGTTATGTTTATACAGCAATCGAAGTGGATTCTCAAGAACGCCTCTTTTTGCTGTATTGGAATCTTTGTAACATCTCAGTGATAGACATCTCAATGACATCAGGTGCTGTTGTGCTAAAAATGTTAACAGGTAAAATCTGTGGAAAAGTCTTTACATTTGTTATACTTTGTATAATAATGATGATAGATGAAATAGTAACATAGTTAATCTTTCTAGTGTTTTATTTTAAAGATAAAAACCATTGTATATGATTTAGAGATATAAGGATAATTGAAGATTATGCTAGTTTTAGTGTAATAATAATCTTAATTTTAATAAGGACAGGAGGCGAGTATTTTGCATTAACTCTCTTTACTAAACTCCACAGCAGTAAAGAAAACGTAAAGAGTAACACATAAATCACTGAGCAGCATAGTATATAAGGGTCATGCTTCCTGTACACTTCCTCTTTCTTGAAGCGACATCCAAGTCAACATAGGGCTCGAACATCCAGAAACTCAACGAAACTGTAACTGCGGTCTCTGGCGAGCGGAACTTGAGGAGACTCCTGGTAACGAGATAGGAGGTAAGACCAAACGAAGCCGTCATCCCATCTTACGGAGTCGTGAAGTTAACAAACCAGCGACCAGTGGACGTCCTGAAGAGGGTTACACTGAAAGGAGAGTATAAAATTGGTTAGGTAATGAACTGTAACTGTTCACGCCTGTGGGCTTTAACAGAATGGAGTGAATTAAATCAGTACAGACAGATTGTAAGCTGGCCAGAGGCTAAATATGTGTTAGGTGTAAGCATGTTGTACAACTAAAACTGTCCGTCTAGGTGGCAATACTGGGGATAGAGATGGAAGAGATTCCGAATATGTATAGAAGATAGAGTAACTACTAAAATAAATCCCAATATCCGTCACTTTAAGATCCACTCCCCCGAGGAGTCAGCGATAGTCCGCTGACTCGCCAGGAACCCCGGAAAGAGACCAAGCCACCCGGGGTAGCCGGTCTTCCAGGAGGAGTGGGTGTAGGTACCCTTTGGGATCCGTGAGCAGGTCCGGGAAGGATGGTAGGAGGAGAGGGTCCCTGTAGGAGGAGGCCATGAGGTCCGGGAACCATGATCGGCTCTGCCACAAGGGTGTTATGACAACCAGTTTGATGTGTTGTGTCCGTATCTGGTGTAGTGTTCTCGCACTCATTGAGAATGGGGGAAAGGCGTAGGCTCCTGTCGTCGGCCATTGTTGGAGAAATGCGTCTGTCGCCTTGCTCTCAGGGTCCGGGAGCCAGCTGAAGAACTCCGGGGTCTGGTGATTGTTGTGAGAGGCGAACAGATCCAGGTTAAAGGGACCCCTCAGGGCTGTCAGGGCCCTGAAGATTCTCGTGTTTAGCTTCCAGTCGCTGACGTCTCTCCAGTGGCGAGAGAACCAGTCGGCTGTGAGATTGATTTCTCCCGGTAAATATTCCGCCTGTAGCATGATGTTGCGAGGGAGGCAATTGTCGAAGATGTCCCTCGTGATATCCGACAGCAGGCGTGAGCGAGTTGGATCCAGCAGTTGGATCTTTCCCGGGCCAAGCTGCGGATCGCGAAGGATCCTGCCAGGAGTTCGAGGCAATTGATGTGCATGGAGAGCTCCTGCGCCGTCCATGTTCCTCCCGTGGAGATGGTTCCGTTGGTGGCATCCCATCCCCACAGGCTGGCGTCTGATTCCAATACGAAGTCTGGGGTGTCTCCGAATATGGCCTTGCTGTTCCAGGCTTGCATGCTGTCCAGCCACCATGATAGTTCCTCGCAAACCTCCGTCGTCACCGGGACGGGTTGGTCGTAAGTAGGCCTGTGACGTAGGTATTTCGCCTTGAGACGTTGCATGGCCCTGTAGTGGAGGGGACCCGGAATTATGGCCTGAATGGAAACAGAGAGGAGTCCTACAATCCTGGCCAGGTTGCGTAGTGGAATGGAATCGAGACGGAGAACCCTGCGAATCTCCTTGCAAATGGCTGTGATCTTTGAGGCTGGTAGTCTCAGAGTGCATTTCGTCGAGTCGATCTCGAAGCCGAGGAATTGTATCGTCTGGGTAGGGGTCAGCTCCGATTTCTGTTGGTTTACCACAAAACCCAAAGATTCCAGTAGGGACACTACCAGGTGAGTGTGTTGGCATAGTCTGAGTTCGTCGGAGCAGAAGAGAAGATCGTCTAAGTAGATGATGCATCGAATACCCCTGGATCTTAGGTGGAACACCACTGGTTTTAGGAGTTTGGTGAAGCACCATGGGGCTGTGCTGAGCCCGAAAGGGAGGCAAGTGAATTGCCAAGGGCGTCCGTGCCAGAGGAAACGTAGGAGTGCTTGACAGTCCGGGTGCACCGGGACTGACAGATATGCGTCTTTTAGATCGAGCCTGGTGAACCAGTCGTTGCTTCGAAGAAGGTCTCACAGGAGGTGGATGCCTTCCATCTTGAAGTGGCGATAGACCACATATGTGTTGAGGGTGCGTAGATTGATGACAGGGCGGTATTCTCCCGACTTTTTCTGAACTAGGAAGATGTTGCTGAAGTAACCACCCCTGTCGCGGACCGGCTGGATAGCCCCTTTGTCTCGGAGCTTGCGTAGCTCCGCGTTGACGAGGTTGTGGTCGGAGGATGACATGTGGATGGGGCAAGGGGGCTGAACCTGAAAGGGGGTCCCCACTAGGTCTATGATATATCCCTGTACAGTTTGTAGGATCCATGTGTCTGAGCATAAGGCGGCCCAATTCTGGAAAGAAAGGGAGATACGGCCCGCAGTGCGGGTACATGGTAACAGTGGAGGAATATGGGTCCTTACCTGCAGCAAAGCGGGAACGTGCGCGTCCGCGGGGTCCACGACCTCTATCCGAGCCTCTGGAAAAGGGTTGCTGCCAATAGTCTCTTGTCGGGTAAAATGGTGTTGGTTGGGTGCGGGGGCCTGAAGGCCAAAATCGGCTGGCGGCACGGCCCCGTTGCCGGCCAGCCCTTCCAAAAACCCCTCTGGTAGGGTTGCTTCTGAAAACTCTGCGCATTGAGGACTGCGCCTTATTAAGGGAGGTGAACACGTTCACGTGTTTGAGTTCCTTGAGGAACGGTTCGCCAAATAGTTTCCCTTGTGCCTGGGGCCCAATCTCCTTTGTGTCAAGGTCTGCCAATTTGCTGTTAATACGGTACAATGCTGCTTTTCGTCTCTCCGAAGAGAGCGTAACATTAGTGTTTCCGATGAAACAAAAACACCGTTGTGCCCACTCACGAACGTCATGTGCCCATTCCCTGATGTCCTCGGCGGAGAAGGAGTCTGCTTTGGCGTAGGCATCATCCGCCAGATACATAATGCGAGCCAGGGGGCCTACGGAATCCAGCAGGTTATCTTGGGCGCCCCATAGGTCTTTCTCTACCCCTCGGCGAGGGTCTCTACAACTGCGCATCATGAAGGTTGACATAACCTTGTCGAATTCTTGGGTCTGAGCGACCTTATCCGGCAGGGAAGGGCGTGGGCATTCAGACCTGAGTCGGCTGCGGACCTCTTTCTCCAGAGGTTTGCGGAGCCACAGGTGCATAAACCTGGAAAGGTGTTCTGGAGGCGACCAGTCACCTGATCTGGGGTGCCATATGTTGCCTTGGTCGAACATCGCCTGACCTGAGGGGTCCAAAATGGTGTCTGAATCAAGAGGAGGTTCTGCGTCCGCAGTGTCCTTGATACCTCCTGTCTGGGCCGCACCCAGGAGGGTCTGTCGCATGAAAGCGGAGACAGATTTCTCGTCCGAGCCCCATGCGTCGTAGTCCGAGTCGGAAGCGTCAGCTTGCCACTCATTCAGCACTGACATGGACTGGGCAGGGCCCTGATCTTCATCTGAAGAGTACTCCTGACGCGGGGCAGGGGTGTGTAATTTGGCAGACTTGCGCTTGGCAGTTGCCTTACCCTTAGGTGGTTTGGGTGTATAGTCTTCGCCTTTGTCATGGCGTTTTTTAGGGCGGGAGTCATCCCTTGCCTGGTGGTCGGACAATTCAGAATCCGACTCGTGGCGTGGACGTCTGCGTTTTGGCACGTCAGGAGCCGAAGCTCGGGCTTTGGAGAGTGCCTTCTCCACAGAGGCAGAGACAGCTGCGTTAATCATGGCCTGGAAGTCCACAGGGACGTTCTAGGAATCTTCCATGTTAAGGGTAGGCTGATAGGTCACTGAAAGGCACAGCAATAAACGGGCACCTAGGTCTTGATAATAGGCGTAGGGTCAGATTTGGTAGTATGGTGGGAACAAGCCCAGAATAACCCCAGCAGGGTATAGTAGTGACCTTATGAACTGGGGCTCACCCAGTTAGAGAGAACTGCAACAGCTAGTCTCCCAGTAAGCAGCGTATTTATAGTGGGGGCTCACCCCGTCTGCACAGGGTTGGGACCCTTGAGTGCAGGTCACAATAATAATAAACAGGCAGCAGCACTGACCTGACTGACCCAGCCACAGGATATAGCTTGATAGAAGCAGATGAGGCACAGAGACTGAGTAGCAGATTGATAGCAGCAGATGGAGTGCTTGAGCAGGTAATCCTTCAGTCACAGTGCAGAGGTGACAGCAAGCTAGCACAGCCACACTGAGTCCCTAATAG